ATATATATATATATATATATATATATATATATATATATATATATATATATATGCGTGTTTCTGCCAGCCTGTATGCGAACCATCTGTATGTAGTACCTGTGACAGCCAGAAGGGGGAGGCAGATCCTCCCAAACTGGAGTTAAAGATGGCTGGAAGCCACTCTGTAGATCCTACGAACAGAAACCAGGGTATTATGCAAGATCAGCCAGTGCTTTTAATTATGAAGCCAGTTCTCCAGCCCTAAGTGTTTTTTAAGGTATAGGGTCTGGGACCCTATCACTTAACTCATGGCTGGAGTTCAGTCACACTAACTGCCTCATGTGGCTGCAAGACAGACAAGGAAACACTGCCGAGGTTATGTGTAAATTTCCCAGGGAGAACAAAGATTGAGTGATCCTGCAACTCCACTCAGGATCAAGACTAAGGGCTTGGAGTGTGAGTAGTGTAGAGGAAGGGAAAATGCAAGTGAGAAGATGAGAGCATGGTCTACTGTTCTAGATATGATATCCTTGGGTGAGCAGCTGTAGGCCCTTCTGTTTGCCTTTATGGAGACTGGGTAAGCAATCCGAAGTCTATGAACTGGAAACCCCTTTCCTCTTCCAGCCACAGTGGAGGTTACTGTGAAAGAATTATAGCCTAGGGATCAGAACTGGCTAGCTTGCTTGTACAATAGACATCAGTGAGTATGTGGTATTCAGGTAAATGGTCATACAGAAGAACCATGGACGAATAAGGCTAGGTGAGAGGATGGTGACTGGACAGGATGACGTGTACATGGTTTGGCATGGATGGATAGATGAATGGGTGGATTGCTGGGTGGTGGGTAGATAATAGATGATGCTATTGTTTGGTTTGGTGTGATTGGCTTACAGTTGCCACTGTGTTGGGAATTTGGCCCCCCAGTATGATTATATGGGAGACAGTCTAGACGTCTAGCATGCAGGACCTTTTAAGGAAGCTTGTATGTAGGTCACTGTGGATCATGATCTTGGACATGATGAAAGTAGTTATGTAAAGTTCTAAGTTAATTTTGAAGAAAGTTTTGGGAAAGTTGTCACTGGGGGCCAGGTCTGAGAGCCTAAGGCCTAGCCCGGCTTATAGTTTGCTCTCAGCTTCATTCTTGTGGTTGATATGAGGTCCCAACTTCCAGCTTTCGACTCCAAGTGCCATGCATGGGCCTTGCCATTATGGACTCTAGGCCTCTAGAAGGGTAAGCCAAAGTACAACTTTCTTTTATAAGTTGAGTTCACTTTGATGTTTTATTACAGCAGAAGGAAAGTAACAAATACACTACATTTTGTTTTGCTTTTTTAAAAAAAGATTTATTCTCTCTCTCTCTCTCTCTCTCTCTCTCTCTCTCTCTCTCTCTCTCCAGTGTGTGTGTGTTTGTTTGTTTGTGTGTGTTCATGTGCTTGCGAGTGGAAAAACTGGGGTCTGATCCCCTGGTTCTGGCAACTGAAATTGGGTCCTCTACAAGAACATTATATTATATGCTCTTACTCAACCATTGACCCATGTCTCTAGCCCCTGTTCTTTGGTATTTGAGACTAGCAGGCCTGCCAAGCACGATACTCCTGTCTCAGTCTCCTGAATGCTGGGAGTATAGGTATGTGACACTATGCCCAGTTCCATTATTACTGATTTATTTAATCATTTGTTGTACACTAATTTACAATGAAGAGAAATTTCATTATTACAGTCCTTCCCCATATCGTGATCATACTCTATGTTAACTTTTTACTTAAAAAATATGTTTAGATTATTTTGATTATATAGTGTTCTGGTCTAAATAACGTGATAATTGGATTTCCTCTTTGTGGTGGAAGGAGAATGGCTCCCATAGGCTCATAAATTCGAGCGTTTGGTCTTTATTTGGTGGAACTGTTTTGGGAAGAATTAGATGTAGGCTTGGAGGGGGTGTGTCACTAGGGGTAGGATTTGAGGAAGTATATTCATTCTCTCTCTCTCTCTCTCTCTCTCTCTCTCTCTCTCTCCCTTGCTGATTGGATGTGAGCTCTCAGCTTCTCCTCTGAGGCCATACTTACCTGCCTCCGCATCATTCTGGTCATGGACTCACTCTCTAAAATTGAAAGCAAGCCTCCAAGTAAATATTTTCTTTGGTAAGTATTTGCCTTGATTGTGGTGTCTCTCCACAGCGATAGAATAGTGACTAAGACACTCCCAGAGAAAGGAAAAAAGCATACGCTAAGCAGGGAACTGGAACAATGATCTCTGTGTATGAAAATGCTATTATGAAACCCATTTGTTTTGGCTGTAAACTTAAAAACAGCAGAAATAAATTGAAGCCTCTAACAACTTTCTTTTTCATTTTTATAATTCTCAAATGTGACACTGTTTCAAAGTGTTTCTGAAGAGATAGCCATTTAGGCATCTGTAGAATATTCACATATGGAAGACACAGAATTTTATGGCCTTGACTCACCCTGTGATTGACCATAATAAAATTTGCTATATATAAACTTTTACAAATATATAATTAATAAAATGTGATGTAACAAATCATGTCATTATTAAGTGGTCTTTATATTGCTGCTTGCCTTTAGGCTCAAAAAATCACTATGTATGTATGTATGTATGTATGTATGTATGTATGTATTTATGTATGTTTCATTCTTACTATGTAGTCCAGACTAGCCTTGAACTCATAAAGATACACCTTTCTCTGCCTGTTGACTGCAGGGATTAAAGGCATGTGCCACTATGCTTGGCATTGTAACAGTTTTTCTGTAAAAAAAAGAAATATACTTTTAATTAGTAAGCTATAGGCAAAGTCATTTATGATATTTTATGTACTGATAAGTACCCAATTAATAGAACATATGAAATTTAATATAGCAAGAAGGGTCTTGGTATCAGGAGATATAGCATATGCTCATGCACAAATTAGGAAACAGTAAATAGAATTAAAAGTCAGGACACTCCCAAGCATTAAAAATTCATAAACTTTTAAAACACATATTCATACTAGGATACCATAATTCTGCAGTCAAAAAATGATACAATCAGGGCATGGTAGTGCCGGTCTATATTTCCTTTACTCAGGGTCTAAATAGGAGGATTACTAGATTAAGGCTAGTCTGGGCTACATAGCTAGCTTCAGGGTATTCCGCACTCTATGTGTAGGAGGAAGAGGAGGAGGGAGCAACAGGGAGGGGGAGGATGGAGAAGGAGGAGAAGAGGTATACAAAAAGAACATCTTAGCTATTCCACCGATAAGTTGACGACTCCCAGCTGTCGTCAGGCCTACTCATCTTGTCTCTCCCTCCAGGTAACTGCAAATTAAGGCAGTGCAGCAGATCTATGACAATTCCAAACTCCTGATTCTGAGAGCTGCCCCATCTCACCCATCTGTGCCATAAAGACGGTGGTAGTGGTGGGGGGAACAGATACCACCCTGTTCTGGGACCATTCTAAGATTCCACTAGTTTACTAGGAACGTCTATTTTGTGTCATACAGTATGCCAGAGGACATAGGCACTTGTACTGTTAGGGTGGTATAGACGCCTCCTTTGTTGTCCAGAGCCCCACCTAGGTTTGATACCACACACACTTCATATTCTGAACACTATGTTTAGTATTGGAATCTTTATGCTTAAAGCCTGGGCCATGGACATGGCCATCCATTCTCAATACGATGATTATCGTAGACAATAGCAGAGAAAGGAGATTTATTCACTGTGGCCACACTGGGAGGAGGAACAAATGAGGAGGTCCAGCGACCTTTAATCATAAGGGAAGGGGTATGCCCAAGTATGCAGTCCTGATCAAAACATGTACTACCCAACACTATCTTGGCTGCCATTATTTATCCTGCAAGATGGCCTATAAATTGTCAGAACTGTGTAAAACCTCTTCTGAGGAGACAAGTTTCTTCTAGAGCTGGAACCGGGATTTTAACCTTTCCTGTCCCCAGCATGAGATTCCTGGGAGCAGATGGGTAGTTTTAGTTGGGGGTGGAGTTCCCACTGTTTCAATAGCCTGAGGTCTCACAGGAAGTCTTGAGTGTTTCTGCCAGGATGGTTAACAGGCCACCCCTGTTCTGAAGGACTGTATCCCTTCAAACTAGGAGCTAAAATAAACCTTGCTTGAGTTGCTATTGTTTGGTATTTCATCACAGCAACAGGAAAATTCACTAATTGCTAATTAGGTTTGCTGGGTTACATGAAGAATCTGGAGAGTCAACTTTTGGTACAATTTGCAGAAAGTGAGGAAGAAGAGATGCATTTCAGTCAGAGTGAAAGACCTGGTAAAAGCTCTCAGAAGCTCTGTACATCGTGCTTGAGGCACCTCCAGCCAGGGCTCCTGTGTGAGAGAGGATACAAATGGACAGATTTAGGACAGGAGACATAGCACACAAAATGTCAGAAGCTGTTGTAAGAGTACAGCAAGTCTGAGACAGTGTCCAAGTATACCAAGACCCTTCTTGCTATATTAAAAGAGTTTCTATTCCTGCACAAAACATCATGACCAAGAAGCAAGTTGAAGAGGAAAGGGTTTATCCAGCTCGCACTTTTATGTTGCTGTTCATCACCAAAGGAAGTCAGGACCAGAACCCGCACAGGGCAGGAACTCAGAGGCAGGAGCTGATGCAGAGACAATGGAGGGGCGCTGCTTACCAGATGACTTCTCCTGGCTTGCTCAGTTTGCTTTCTTAAAGAACCCAGGACTACCAGCCCAGGTATAATACAACCTACAATGGGCTGGGCCCTCCCACCCTTGATCACTAATTGAGAAAATACCTTACAGCTGGATCTCATAGAGGCATTTCCTCAAGGGAGGCTCCTTTCTCTGTGATAACTCCAGTTGTGGCAAGTATAGAGAGGAACAGATGTTGATCATATCGGAAGGTTATTTATAAGGTTTCATGGAGCTGTAAATGATAAAAATGCCTGCAGGACATGGGCAGGAGCACACCCTGTAGAAGCTGTGTTAGTATTCTGTAAATAACAGAAGTCTAAATACGCACACAAATTCCACACATCAAATACTGTAAAGAAACCAATGGGAATTAAACTATGTTTGGATAATCCAAGCACTTCCTGGGACTCAAGATTCTTAGTCAAGGCATCTTCAGAGTCTGTAGACTATGGAAGATATTTTAAAATTGCCATTAACTCCTAATTTTAGCCTAAATCTGAGCCTATGAGCCGGGTTACTGACCTCTGTCAGAATTTTACTTCTCTTCCTCTTCCTAAAAGAAAATAAGAATACCTCCAAGAACGCCACCTGAAAGAAAAACAGCAGAAAGCAAAGGTGACTAGTCTGCACAAAGGTAAGCACAACTTTCGGCATCAAAAGCAAAAGAAATGTGAAATTCCCCATCAATTGAAAATCAATATGTACAATTGCTCAATGCCTTACCAGATGTGGAGGATGTGTAAAAAATGAAACTTTTACACAATGTTTTAAACAATTAAGAAACATTGCAACTGGCTCCACCGGAATGGAAAGCCAGGTCTTAATTATAAAATATGGAACCAGGTTTTAAAAGCTTTTGAAAGGAAGTTAATTATGGGGAATTCTCCTTCTGTTGAAAACTAGTACATAGATTTATTAAAAGACCCAATTAAAGGATTAGGTGTTAAGGTAAAACATTCTACACCTAAAGAATTATTTCAGCAAACACATAAATATTGCTACTGGTTCCACCTGAGTGGCAGGGTGGTTCCAAATTATAAAACATGGAACTAGGCTTTGAAAGTCTTTAAACAGGCTCAAAAAAGACGGCATTTCCACACCTGTATTTGCTCACTTATATGCCAGGCTTTAAACCTTTATTTGATACAGAAATTGATAATGAATCTACAATTCTGAATAAGATGATGAAATAGTAGCATCTAAAAGTCAACGTAAAGAATTATGAAAATTGAACAATTAGCTCATAATATGCACATTTCTGCGATAAATAAGGAATGTAATCCTGCTTATAATCCTTATGAAAAAAAATCAATAAAAGTCCCCCTCACCCCCCCAAGATATGAAAGCATTTTCTGTAGCTGTGACTCAAATTACCCCAAACTGTTTCAGTATCTTCAAGGAAAATACACTATAGTCATACTCTATTAACTTATGGAACTTTTTCGTATTCTAAACAGGTAGTAGTTACTTATGGAATACATTCCATTTATGTAAAAAGAATTTTACAAGGACTCACCCCTAATTACAGCTTAATCTCAAATGCCTGGGAGGCTTTAATGAGAGCCATTCTAGAAGCCAGAGCTATTTACAATTCTAAATATGGCAGCAAAAGCTAGTATTTTAGCTGGAGAAAAGTCAAGAAAATAATGTTACTACCACTGTAGATTAAATCAAGGACACACTGTTGGCTTTTGGGTAGGGACCTCTGCATCCCAGATGCCCCCAGTTGTCAGTGTTCCAAGCTGGGTGAGGGTCCTGCCATTGTTTGTCTGATTATTACTGTTTGGATTGGTCAAGGCAGAGTGAATCCCACTCCCTTAAAATGTAGTTGTGTTGTCCTGTACTTGTCTGTATGTATAAGGTTTGTTGTAGTTTTGTCTCCCAGCTCCCCCTGGAGCTTGCTCATTCCTGTCCCTCTAGTTGACTTGCTCAATCAAGTCTACTGTTTAAGTCCCACAAAATCTCATCTCTGAGCCTTCTTTGTTCTCTCTTTGTACTGGTTCCTCTTTCTGGTCACTTGATTCAGTTTTGCAGGGATTCAGATGTATTTTGGAAATGGATAATATTGTTTTATGCTGTTCTACTTTATTAAAAAGCTGGCTCTGGAGTTGGGTATGGCCCACCCTCTCCAGACCTAAGCATGCTTTTTTAAAAAAAAAAAAGTTTCCTCAAATCTCTGTCCTATCAAAAGGCCATTTGACTCTGGGACAGAGACAAAACAAAACAAGACAAAACATCAGAACAGCTGGAAAAACACACTATGTGCTTTAGCACTTGGGAGGTAGAGGCAGATAGATCACTGAATTCCAAGCCTGCCTAGTCTACAGAGTGAGTTACAGGACAGCTACACAACGAAACCCTGTCTCAAAAAGCAAAAGCAAACCAAACCAAATGGTAGATTACTCTTAATAGATAAAAGGGTAATATAAACCCCATTTGTCTCCATTTTGAGGATCAGGCC